AGCTGTATCAGACATTGAAGACATACTTATTGGGAGACGAGAATCATTCATAGTTTTGATTTTATATAACCAAGAAAGGGCAGACTTCAGAACTATACAAGACGTTTTCCAGTCTAACCATATAATCTGGAGAATTCTTGACTTAACAAAGTAGTCTTTTGAAATATGCTACTTTGTATTCTTTCTAGTAGGTCAGCATACCGGATGCCCCAAATTCCGACACAATACGAAAGAGGAGGAATGATAACTGAATTATACAGTTTGATTCTCGCGTTCCTCAACGTCATTTTGGAATGGATGATGAGATCCATACATTGAGGAAACTCAGTCAAGTGAATAGTTTGCTTGAAAAAACGTCGAAAGTGACAAGAAAATTTTCACCAACGGTAGGAAAATAGTACTTGAAGGATGCAGAACAATATTTCTGTAACATTTTTTCTGCTGTAAGTGATCAGGACACTTGTTGGTATTAACCAAATCGATATGTATTTTGAGGTCGCTAATTATAAGTGAACCCTAAACTAGTGCTGGGTTAATGAAAACTCAACATTATTAAATCATTTTTCTGGGACAAAATCACTTGCTCTGAGCAAACTCATCGATGAAGACAATCTATCAAGACGATTGGTGCAGGTGACAGCTCACGCCCAACGCGACGATACTCTCACTGTCCTCGGTTTCATTATGATGATAGCATTTGTGAAGTAAACATGTAGTCCAGTAACTTTGTCGCCTGAACATATGGGGGTAGTATGCGCCAAATCGGGTAGTTCTGATTTTTTGCAGACTTGTTTATAATGTTGGCCTAATGGCCAAGTTTGTGACCTCGAGCACCGAACGCAACTTTGTCACAAATCGAAAAAACCGCGAAATATCGTAATTTTTTCGAATTTTGGCGATAATAACCCTGAAGGACTAGTTTTTGAAAAAAAATCTCTCAGGACGTTTTTAAAGCAGATCAAATTTGCTACAATATGATACGAAAACTGTCTCTGTAGATCCAATAGTTTGCGAGATTAAGCCTTTCAAAGTTTATAATGTTTTTCGAACATCGCAATTTTTTGCAATGTTTTAGGCGTCACTCGAATATACTCTAGCGGGATAAAGTTTCAATTACCTCCGACGGAGTGTGCTAGTACTGTTCGTGTGAAGTCACGAATGCGACCCACCTGTAGCACGTTTTCAAACTTTTTAGGCAATCAAAACCACGGGACTTTTTAGCTGGCAAGATGGCGCCTGGTTGTAGGGCCATCACATATAATAAGTATTGGTTTTCTCTCAGGTACCTGCTACACATCCTTCGGATTCTAATGATTGATTCTGTTGTTAGATCCTTTCTCTTGATGACTGCTATCCACATTACTCTTCTTATTTTTGATAGATCTTTTATCTGTGGATAATGCACAGAGTTTTTCACAGAATCACAGTAGGAATGTGAAAAAACTAAGCAAATTTTCCCGATCTGCACGGCTTCCACTATGGGGATATGCCATCCCAATACGTCGATCCAGAGCCAGACGAACCTCCAAGAAGGCTAAATCAATCTAATTTTTTGACAATATTACTCTGTTTCCTAACAAATAAACTCATTAACTTTAGTTGTACTTATCTTTTTTATTTCATTATATTCGTAGCTCAGCTTGAACATCCTCGTTCACACTCCTCATGTTCTTTCTTATCATCTCATCATGAAAGTACAGGGCTTCGAGTGTATAATCAGGGTCAAAATTCAATCAGAACGACAAAATTGCAAAAAATTGCGAAGTTCGGAAATAAAAAATGAACTTTGAAAGGCTCAATCTCGGAAACTAATGAGTCTACAGAGACAGTTTTTATATCATATTGTAGCAAATTTGGTCTCATTTAAAAACAATCCTTCAAAATCTTTCAGGGTTATAATCGCCAAAAAAATGAAAAAAAAACTAGTTTTCACAGTTTTTTCGATTCTTGACAAAGTTGCGTTCGGCGCTCAAGGTCACAAACTTGGATTATTCATTAGGTCAACATCATGAACAAGTCTGCAGAAAATCAGAACTACCGGATTTGACGCATACTGTGATGTATAAAGTTACTGGATTAATGCGTTATCGCTAGTACAATCAAAATTCCAAGTCATGCAAGTGCTTTTCTGACCAACTACTATATCATATTCGTGAAGATTCTCGATCAGTTTTGTGTGCCGCGCTCTGAGCTGTGGGGAATTGAGTTCTTGATCTGTTATTCTTTTGAAGTAGATAACAAAAACAAAACTCTCCCAGAACAGTACCTACATAATTGATGTTGACATCATATACAGGATTAGATATTCTACTTCCGATGATACTCGAAGTAGGGGAAAGTGACGTTAACACTAACAAAAAGTACAATACTTATTAACTGTTCATACTTCTATGTCATTACTGTACTTTGTTCGATAATGTTCAATAATAGCAAATAAACACTCTCTGTTTTTGTTTCTTGTGACAATCGACGTGAGAGCCAGTTCCAAATATAGGTGTTTTTTCCAATTGTCAGTAGTAAAGTTGTAATAATAGTTATTAAAGTTTTATCTCGGTGTGGATCGTCTCTTGTGGAAGTAGCTGGTTCATTTGAATACACTAGACATTTTATGTGTCTCCAAAGATAATAGTCGGGTGAATTCATCGGTCAAATAATTGGACCACCTCCTGCAATCTATCGGTGAGCAAAGTTGATATTCAATTGCTCCTAACTCCTTGACCCGTCAGTACTCGCGCGGGGTTTCTAAATACCCCATACTTCATATTCTATTGTATATATATGTGTATATTCAAGGCCAGGGTAGCCTCGTGGTTAATGCGTCAATGTTTTATCCACGTAGGATTGCCGGGTAGTTGGGTTCGATTCCCACCACGACCGAAAGTGTTTGGGATCACACGTTAAAAGGTAAGACCCCCGTCATTCCTTGCTCGCTCTCTTGAAGACTTCTGAGGGTTGCTCGTAAGGGGACAACCGAATGATGGATAAGAACAAAACAGAACAATGAACGATCAAAATATATCGATTGGGGTACTTTTATCACTCCATGTATTCTTCAAGCATAGTATTGAGATGTGTTTTTTTTTTTATCGCTTGGAGCGCACGAAAGGGAATCCCTATAATGTTCAAAGAATATCGTGCGTTCCTAGGGGGCATCAGGACAGGAGGTAGGTATTGGAATTTTTTTTGAACTTCTGGAGATTATATCTTGTTGGGGATACTTCCTCAGGCAATGAATTCCAGAGCCTAGCCGTTCTATGGATGAAGGAGTTTTGATAAAGTGCTGTTCGACATCTTTCGAGGTTGACAACGAAAGGATGTGCTGACTGGGCTTGTCTAGTTCGTCTGACTGGTATTGCTAGTGAAGGGATGATAGCAGAGATTTCCGAAGCACATTTCCCGTGGAAGTATCGATAGAAAAGTGAAAGGTCGCCGACCTTTCTACGGTGTTCCAATGATGTCAAAGACTGAGTGAGTGTGGCGTCACCCACCAGGCGGATGGCTCTTCTCTGGATGGAATCTAAGAGCATCAGCGTATGTTTTGGTGAGGAAGCTGTTGAGGTGTAAAGTAGCTTTCCGCACGGAACAAGAATCCGAGTTTTTGTGAGGCAGCTTTTGCGATGGATCTGACATGATTATCCCATGAAAGAGTGTTGCTGATGGAAATACCGAGCATAGATATGGTGGAGATGGTGGTGCCAGACATTACAATGTCGGGCATACTGAGTTCCGCCTTTCTAGAGAAAATACAGGCTTGAGTTTTGGTGGCGTTGAATTCAACTAGGTTGTTGGTTCCCCAGGCTGTGAATTCAGCAAGGTCTTCATTGACAGCATTGACCTGCCTGCGCCGTGAGTTCTTAGTTTCCTGGGAAGAGATGGGAATTCTGGATGAGAACGCAGTATGGAGGGTACTATCGTCTGCGAAGCTGTGGATGGGGCAAGTTGTTACTCCCAACAGATCATTGATATGCAGAAGGAATAATGTTGGTTGCTATAGCGTATGGTTGTTATTGAATGCATTTGTGTGAAAAACGACATTGAAGTGGGTTGGGGTATTCGAATACTCCGTGCGAGTACTCGTGCGACATTTCTGGTAAGTACAACATTCATGTATGAGGCGTTTTATTAGTATTTATGCTCTTTTGAATAGTTGAAGCAGTGCCATATTTTTTTATGAAACGAGAACCAGAGCACCATGATCATTTTGTTGGAAGAGTCAGGCGCCAAAGGATATATGCTCGAAAGGCGGACACATTCATGAAGTGGTCTTCCACTGTCATCGAAGAATGTATGAAACTATTTTTGCCCATGTTCAAAATGTTCCTAAGAATATAAGGCATCGAGGAATAATTATTCTAAATGTGGAGGAATCATCATCCTCAAGGGAAACAGAGGCTGGTCAAGTTGCGAAGAGATCGATAGTTGGTAAGAGAGGGTGATACCTTTATGTCACAGTAAAACTGACCATAAAAATCCCAGTTACCTGATTGAAATGCAAAAATTGGATAAATAGGAGCCATCAAACGAATGTATTCGAGAATTGTATGAACAATGATAGAACTATAGAAGACAACAGTGTTTAGGAGCAATGCTTAGTTCAATATTCTATAATTCTTATTCAGATATAAATATAATATAACTTCTAATGAGAGTGGCTTCAATATAGAAGTTTTGATGTTTTCAGTACACCTACGCAGATTTTTTATTGTGATATTTCATAATTTATAATTCATTTATTTGAGATTGGGGTATCAGAGTACTCAAATCGCGAGTACTCATGCAAAAATATGCACGCTAGTACTGAAGGGTTAACTACAGAGCTTCAGACAAGAATATAAAAGGCACTTTCGACTTAAAATTATGCAAGGAATATGCGCTTGAGCTATGGACATCAAGTCCGTATATTAGTTTCACGATGTCTGCTGAAATGGTTATACAACCTTCGAGAACACCCTCCATATCTGCATTTTTTGAAATTCGATATCAATAAATGACTGACTTACCGTAAATTATCAATTCTGCCTGCTTCCACGTCCTCGCTGGAGAAACCCTTCCAGGATGAATTTGCACTCTGATGGTAAAAGCCTTTACGACACACGCATCGGTATCTTCCTACCTCTTCTGCCGAATGATCCTCGTTGACACACTGAAAAGAGAATGGAGGGTCTGAGATTGTGTTTCATGACTCGTAAAATAAAAATCGGAAGGATGCGAGGAAGAATGGAGTAGAGTTTGCTTTCGACTTTGGAGTTCGTTACGTATGAACAGGTCTCAATTCTTATTAAGAAATATTTTCCATATTGTAATTGCAGACATTTACAGAAAAAAACATGATACAATAGATAAATCGGGGAGTTCAGTCACTCGGGCTTCATATAGGTAAACATGATCAACTAACTCCTTACTATATCATTGATAAGAAAATAAATTCACTATAGAAACATAACAACTGAACACGAAGTTAATGAATATGACTTGAACATCCAAGTATGAGAACAATCACAGTTCACAGGGTGTTTAGAGAATCGATTTACTAGTTAAGACAATATTGGTCCTTCAATTCCCTATACATTGCAGATCAATTTTTGAAGATCAATTCACTTGCTCAAGAAATACGGAGCCTATCGAGAAATGCGGAACAATACTTCAGAAAAAAAATTCGAAAATCGATTGAATTCCACTCAAAAGGCAAGAAAGCTATCTAGCAACTGCTTGGCCAATCTAAATGTAAATCACGAACGCGATAATTATTATTTGTTCACAAAAACGAGCCCAAAATATCTGCAATGCAGCAAAAACAAGTACTTTATCTGAATTATATGGTAAGTTCTCATGTTCATTCAAATTGGTACGATTTCGATGGACCATCATATATGTATATGCTCAATAGTGGGTATGATTCCGGCACCAACATTGCAACCACTTGGCCTATATCCATAGCTTTGCAGACGATAGTACTCTCCATACTGCGTGATCTTCTATATTTTCCATTCATATCCAGGAAACTGAGAACTTACTACGAAGGCAGGTCAAATTACGGGCTGGGGAACCAACAACCTAGATGAATTCGATGCCACCACAACTCAAGCCTCCATTTTCTCTAGAAAGGCGGAATTCAGTATGCCTGATATCTTGTATCACCATCCCCACCAAAATCACGTAACTCAGATGTTGACCCTCCTATAGGTCGTAACGCTACTCGCTTGGCTTTTTGACGAGAGGTTTTGATCATTTCACCACCCAACCACATTGATCCCCAAATAAAGAGACAGTTTTCATATAAAATTGATTAAATGGAAAAATCGTGGATAAATGCTTCCCACATGGCAGGTTAGCAAAGAAAAACGAACATAATGGCTTGCCAATTGAAACACAATGCAAATTGCAAAACAACACTTGAAAAAAAAAACAGCATACTTACAAGCGTACAAGTATATCCGAGAGAGAAATTAACGCCATCCTATTTGCGTAGAACGAGCTATCGGAAATGATTATTTAGCAAATGTGATAGTAAAAATGTCATATGTTCTCAAAAACACAAAGCATTGCAGCAGGATTGAAGAGACCGCGAACATTTTCAATTGATAATTACTAATGACTTGTATTGATGATAATGATGCCTTATCGACTCGAGTACTATTTATATTCGGAATCGATGCTAGGTTCGCAATTCTCCGCAATGGGAATGGCCGTTATACCTTTCGATATTGCCTACCTAGGTATTATCGCACGGTAAGCGGTTTTTTTGCAAATATTGAAGGAACTCACGTCTATTATCTCCGTTGACCTGATCAAAACTACAATGTACTAGATGTTTTCATTTGGAAAAGTTCATTTATGATATTGAAATGAACGAGAGTTTGAGTGATGTTAATTCATTGGCATTTGTACTCCTTGACAATATCTATGCTCGGAAATTTCATTAGCATGGAAAATTCATGTATCCGATCCATCACGAAAGCTACTCCACAAAAACTAGGATTATTATTCTTTGCTCAAATCTACGTTACACCTCAACAGCTTCTAATGATCTACAAATCACAGATACGGCCAGTTTTAGAATACTGTTCTCACAGGCCAGGTAGTCGTGTGGTAGAAGCGTGATTTTTAAACAGGTTGGCGTGACGGCCGTGGGTTCAAAACCAAACGGCTGCAGACATTTATTGTCATTTATTGCTCTTACAAGTCTCTTGAAGACTTCTGAGGGTTGCTCGTTGGGAGGCAATTGAATGACGAATAGAACAATTTCAGAAGAACAAAAACAACATATTATGTTCAGCACCCAAACATACACTGATGCTCTGAGATTCCATCGAGGAAAGAGCCATTTACCTGGTGGGTAATGCCACACTCACTAATCCTAGGATCTCATTAGAATACCGACGAGAAGTCGGCGACCTTTCACTTTTCTATAGATACTTCCACGGGACATGTTCCTCAGAAATCTCTGCTATAATTCCATAACTCGCAATACCGGTCAGTCAAACTCGACAGGCACATCAGTCAGCTCATCCTTTCGTTGTCAACCTTGAAATATATCGAACAACACTTCACTCAAACTCGTTGGTCTATGAACACAGCATTTATTGCCAATAAATAGTGCTGAATATTTGTAAATGTTGAATGTTGTTAAAATCGAAATGAGTGTGTAGCGAAAAATTATGTCAGCAACAAGGTAAATATGAACAGTCGTCTTCAGAGATCACGTCGCGGTTGGACGGTGTCAGCGCTCTTATTGCAGGAGTTATTGAGAATGCTATCATCGTCCATGTGCAACATATTTTCTGAGGATGACTGAACATTTTTGATATTGACAATGTTGCCACATATATGAAAGTAAGTACCTGTAACTGACTGACTCAAGAAATCATTTATTCAACCTGACTTCCAGTAACCCATTTAGGAGGTGAATATGTTATTTGGCAGCTGACGATGCTATTCATTCAAATTACATTAAAAAAAAACGATGAACTGAATTCGAAAATTTCGTGTTGACTCTCGAAACAACCGTTTAGATTATAATGTATATACAGGCAACCATAATAGTGATCGTTTCATATGTCTGACTGAATTTAGCAATTCCGAAAATTCAATAATCTAGGGATTGCGTACCCAATGAATTATCATGGAATTATAATCGGTTCACTAGATTTTAATATACCAATATTGCCTCCATATCTCCTCTGCTACTTCATTCCAAGACTCTCTTTGATACACTGCAGAGAGAAAACGAATAGTCAGAGATTATGTTTATTGGCTCACGTAATTAAACTCTATGAAAAACGTAACGCGGACATTCTTTCCCACTTTTCTCGAAGGGAAGTATATAATGTCTTCGTAGAATTACTTGATTCCGTAGCTGAGCACGACAAAGTGGAAAAAGTAATTTGATTTCGCTAGTGGAACTCACTGACGTCGTATGTGGTAGGTGCGAACGAGAAAATGAAGAAAATTGGAGTCGATTTAAGATTCTTTCGTCATCCAACTTCGCCTTAGTATGAACTTGAAAAAGGCATTTGCCCGCTTCTATGATGGGTTTAATGCGTCTCGCATAGAAAACTTGAAGTGCGAATAGCATATTATGCTCAAAGTTATAATTATACTGAACTTGTTCTTTTGTGTATTGCTACGAGGGCTGTATTCAGAGGTTTCTGTTCAATATACCTGTTAGAGGTGCTTAATAAGAGGCTTCACCGATCAAAAATAAGTTATCTTGGCTCCGAGGACCAACCTCTTTGCTTTCTTCCTCAAGCGTTACTATTGAGAATGAAAGGCTGTACAAATAGGAAATGATACTCATACTCATAGATTATTTCCTTCACTTATATAACAATGAATACCAGATTCATTTAACATTGTGGAATTTGAAGCTGTAAGTACGACTTGACCATTCTAGCTAAGCTCTTGAGATGCGCAAACGATAAACAGAGATGGTTAGTGTGCGATATACATTCTATACGCCTCTTTATTGGGAAGTAAAATCGTAGTGTACTGTTCTAACCCATGTTCATTGAACCAGTTCTCCGACAATAATGAGCTCTCACCCCACTCCGTTGACTGGTCTACTGCGCATCCAAATCTCGGAGGCCAAGCTAGAATGGTCAAGTTGTACTTTCAGCTACAATTACCAATATACAAAATCTGTCACTGTTCATGTAGACAAGTAGTACTCAAGTATGCAGACTGAACTACAGAAGATTGAATTCTATGTTACATTGTTACATTTCAAATAGCGAAAGATATTTTATGAAAATTCATTTGAATACTTGATCACAGACTATAGGTACATGATAAGAAGAACTGGCCCCAGAACAGGTCTCTGAGATTCTCAATTGGTGGTTTTCGGGCTATTCATGTCATAAAATAATACCAATTGTACAGTAAGGACCAAAAGTCCTTCGCTTTCCCTGTATTATATTACATATTACAAAAAAAATTAGATGTATAAGTTGTAGGGTTTTTGGATCTTTCCGATGGTTTAGGATTCATCTATACAGAGTGTCTCAAGAAAGCCCAGCGACTCAAGAGTTTATTTCTTCAAATAGGACAACCTACATATCATTGCATGTTCAGATTTAACTTTGTTTATTCTTATTTAGTGAGGGAACTACATGAAATGGATCAAAATTGGTTTCACTCCACTATCCTGGATCTTTTGAAGCTCTTAATTTTTTGTAATGTGTAAAATGAAGAAGTTACAGAGGGGCGACGCACTTTTGGTACTCACTGTATATATCTGTCCAGATAGTAATATCTGGAAGATTATGAGGGATGGAACGGATTCAAATCCATTGAAATGTATATTCACTCGTATACGAATTTATTGCATGGAAATGGGATGTTTCACAAATCCCTATACGCAAATTTACCTCATTTTCCATATGTATCATATCAGAAAACTGCGAGATATACTTTTCGCCCACATGAGTAAAGCTCAAGCACTGCTGAATTTATTAGAGAGCTCCGTACCGAAGTTGGCGAAACATGTTTGGTTTATGACGTTTCTGTTTCATGTTCCTGACATTTGTACCTACTCAGAATTGGATTCTGATGTTGTACCGAGAATTGCTGTGGTTCGCAGATGGGATTGATCATAGTCGTGGCAAATTGAAATTGCAATATTCTCATTTCCCTAATAATTCAGGC